AAAAAAAAAAAAACAATTGTTGTAACCATTTAATCAAAAAAAAAAAAATCCTTTCATAAGCAGCATTTTCATTTGAATTTACAAAATGCATATACTTGTGTAATTTAAAATTAGGGTTTTAATATGCATGTACATATATATTTTGTTTTATTAATTGTTGCAATATATAAAATTAAGTTGTAAACTAACATTACAAGATCTTTTTTCTACCAGCCCCTACTACGCAATTGTTAAAAGTTTGATGTTAGAGTTTGCTTCCGGAAAAATATGTCTCACTTTACCAACTTCAGCTCACTTTTAGTGGTTGCTTCTTGTTTACCTAAAATAATATTGGTTATCCAAATATTTAGGGTCTTTCATATATCATCAGCAGCTTCGTTTAGAATGACCCTAAATTTAATTTCCTATAATATAGTAAAAACAGCAAAAGAAAGAATTTTTCATATCTTATGAAGTGTTTCTTTTAAGATGACCCCAAATTTAATTTTCTCAAATATATTAAACACAGCAAAGAAAAAAAAGATTTCCAAACTTAGGGTTATCTGTAAAATAATTTATTCAATTGAAGCAAAAATTTTGTATTAATCTTGCACTTATAAACTCATTTCACACAAATAAAGTTTGATGGTAATTGTAATGCTATAAATTAATCTTCTCATGTAAATTTAAGCATAAATATCAAGTGAATCTCAACTCAACCACCTACCAAGGCAAAAACTCCATGAATGTGACTTTTTTAACATGTTCTAAAGCACCGAACTGAAGTGAATTGAAAAGGGTCTTTAGCATAGCAACTCATCACCTAATTTTATTGACTCAACAATTCAACAAGTACTCCACAAAACAAAAAGAAAACAGTACAAATGCGACCTTTTCTAAGTTGAAACACTTGTATTTTTCTTGCTGACCCAAATCGTCCTTCTAACTTTCAGGAATATGAAACCTCATTTCTACCAGCTAGCTTTTATAATTGAAATTGTGGATGGCATATATATATTTTTTTGGAGAAAGTGTTTTGTAATTTGGTCTATATCAAATTATACAATCATAACCATCTGATAGAAATAGACCCCATGATATTGTGAGCCACTTGATAATGAGAGTCTCATCCCCATCCAATGGCCTTTATTTTATAGTTCAATGCAATCTAAACTATAAAATAAACTACTATTTTTAATTTTTAACTAATTAGACTTTTCAGTTGTTGAAAGAAGGGGTATATATCTGCAAAAGTAAAAGTAATTGAATTGGTCATTCCGTGTAGAAATTATATATATTGCGCTTCATTTCAATTCAACACAGCTAGCTATTGGTGTTTTAAAGGGTGAAATTAAATAAGTTCAATTAATTACTAAAGAAAGCTTATCTGCATCAATGACAGTCCATTTCCGCGTCTTGTAACATTATTCATATGCAATTTGCCTTTAATAACTTTTTGTTTTGTTTTTTCTTTTCTAATCAGTGAATTTAAGAATCCTTTTGTTGAAGAAGAAAATAAGTACAAATGGAGAAGTATTTTTGGAGATGGAAAGTAGAAAATGAAAGTCAAAAATGTTTTCCGCAACCAAACAGGCGCTAATATTAATCCCGCTAAGCCTCATGAGAAGAATTGCAACTGTAAAGGAAAGGTAATTACAAAAAAAAAAAAATGTAAGGGAAAGGTTAAATATCAATTTTTGATCCTCAGCTTTTGTGTGAACTATTCATTTGGTTCTTAAACTAAATAAATTCTTAATTTGGTCTCTAAAATTTTAAATTGTAGCTCTTTTTTCGTCCCAGAATAAGGATTTATTTAGTTTATGAACCAAATCAAGGTCCCTACAAAAGTTCAATAACGAAAATTAGAGTTTAACCAAATGAAAATTTTGTAATTAAATAAACTTTTAAGGGCCAATTTAAATAATAAATTTTGTCCACATTATCAATTTTTACCATGTAAAATTTTTATGTCATTAACTTGAAGAAACAAATAGGTTTTGACGTCAATTAATGGGCCATATAAGCTAAGGAAAAGACTAAAAAAGAGTCAAAATTTAAAACTTTAGGGACCAAAATAGAAATTTATTTAGTTTTATATATATCAAATCAAGGGTCCACATCAAGGTTAAATGACTAAAATTGAGATTTAAGGTAAAAGAAAAGGCAATTATGGTTCAAAAATCACATCTAATATCAAGATTAGCTAGATTTGGTTAGCCTAATCACCATTTATTCTCTACCACATAATTGGAGTCTTCTACTTTCTTCAGTAGATATCATTCCTTTTCTCCAATGGAAAAAAATTTCTAATACTTCAAAAAGAAAATAAAATCTCAATTATGTCATATATGTTTTTTTTTATCTTAATTGCACAATAAAAGGTAACTATTTTAATAGTAGGTAACTATCTCTCATTCCTTATCTCATCCTATCCACATGACATGCGAGTCAAACTCAAAACTTCTTACATTCAGTAAAAAGAGATGATTACTGAACTATTTAGGTTGTTGGCTTCTGTCATATATGTTTGCATCTATCCACTTCAGATTTTTGGACCGCATTTTTTTTCCCTACAAATCTTTCTTTCTCAATTCTCTTCCATTTACATATATATCATAATCAATTCAATAAATAAGTTCTTTTTTTTTTTAACAAATTTATAAAAGATCAGATTCGAACTGTTATTTTGGAGGAGGAAGAATGCACTTATATATGGTTTGACGTCATTGGACCCGAAGCCCAAATGCAATAAAGAGGTTCATTTTTTCTTTGCCAGCTGCAGTTCAATATATTAGAATTCAAATCCCAACAGTATTTTCATTCAGATAATCAATTAAATTAAACATCGTCGGTCGGACGTCA